CTGAGCCTTGTCCTTCCTCTACTACCATTCAAGGAACCCCTGTCCAGTAACTCAGATCTCTGTGTTTCTGTCTGCAGGATATTACCGAGCCATATGGTCTGCTGTCTCTGCCACTTTAAAGATGATATTGAGGTTGCCTGCAAGACAGTCAAGCTGCTGTGTGACAGCGCATGTCTGACCAATGACATGCAGTGCCGTGAGTCTCAACTACCTGATGATGAATGTTTTCATTTTTATTTTGTTTGCTTTTTAATTTTTAACTGGTGATGATAAAATTGGCAACTAATGATACAATCATTTTAATTTGATTCATTCATCAAAGTTAAGCACCCTAAACTTCTGAAGTGCTTCCCAGGGGAGAGACAGGCTCTCAGCACTGCATCTTACAATAACAGAACTGTCCCACATGCGTAAGGACAGAGAGAAAGGGCTGGAAGGTGGGGGAACACCGTTCTTCGCCGCGCACCATGGACCATGTTGTTTGTTTGGTGCTTTGCCTTCCAATGAAAACTTCATTCATAAAGTGCACTGGAGACTGTAAGATGGGTTTGTATATATTAGGTTTCATTTCTTCAACCTCGGGGCAACTACAGATCAGTTTTATCTTCTTTTTGTAATTGTACAAGAGAGTTTCAAGTGCTGCTGTTTTATTTGGAAGCTGCGAGTTTTTGATTGCAGAACTAGAAACAGCTGCCTGTCTCTTGTGAAGGAAAGCAGGGTTCTTCCATGCCCAGACTGTCTGGCCCCAAGCTTGTTCTGAATCGCAGATGACTCAGGTGCATTCAAGTGTTTCTGTATGTCAGGTTCATCAACTCTTATTTCGTGCTTGTGACACGTGACAGCTTTCATATTCAGATAGCTTGACTACAGCTCTCTACCAGTGATCTGGGACAAATAATAAATAAAAGCACTCTGCTTCTTATGTGAAAGAATTTGGTTGGTTTGCAAAACAAATTTTTACCAATTACATTGTTCACTCCTCCCTCAGAATTTCTTGCCTCCTTTTACAGAGGAGGAAAACGAGATCAGAGGTGTCCAGTGCTGGAGCCTCCTGCCCAGCCCTCTGTCCCCAGTCCTGGG